TTTTTTCAAATGTGACAACGTGACGAGTGTGATGTGATATTCTAAATATTTTATTAAAAAAAAAACCAAAAACTTCCTAGTGTATTTTTTCTAAATGTGACACTAAAAACTTATTAGTGTACTTTTTCTAAATGTGACAACGTAACCCAAATGTGACAACGGGACGAGTATGATGTGACACTCTAAAAAAACTAAAAACTCATTAGTATACTTTTTTCAAATGTGACAACGTGACGGGTATGATGTGACACTTCAAAAAAATTAAAAACTCATTAGTGTATTTTTTTTCAAATGTAACAACGTGGTAGGTATGATGTAACACTAAAAAAAAACTAAAAATTCATTAGTGTACTTTTCCTAAACGTGACATGTGACACTCTTACGTGGCATGTATGATATGGCACTACAAAAAATTAAAAACTCTATTTAGTGTACTTTTCCCAAATGCGATACTCTAATGTAGCGGGTGTGATGTGACATTAAAAAACTCCTTAGTATATTTTTTTTTAAATGTAACATTCCAAACAATGTAATGCACAAAAACTCCCTAATATACTTTTTCCAAACGTTACAATCCAATGTAACAACAGAAAATCACACTGCAGAAATGTAGATTTTCACACTCGATAACTAATACTTCAGCCAACAATTTCTCCAAAAAGAATCTATCACACCACACCTTTTCATTCTCATCCAAAAAATTAATTAGAAAATTAGAAAAATAAATCATAAAAAGGCATTATCTTAAAGTCAAATGACACCAAATTAAATAAATACAAATTTTCAAAACAAAAAAGACTAATTGGTTAATGAGAAAACTCTTAGGACTAAATAGATCAACATTCCCCCATATGCGATTTATAGATAATTTTAAAAAAAATAAAAAAAATTTTAAGCGATTTTTTTAATTTTTAAACACACCTAACATAAAATGCACATAAAATGTATAATATTTGTGAAAAAAATATTTAAAAAATTCACTAAATATAAAAAATATTTTAAAAAATGAAAATTCAATATATTTTTATATTATTGTATATTTATTGATTTTTTAAATTTTTTTTTATGAATATTTTATTTTTTAAATACATCTAAGTAAAGTGCATATAAAAAAAATTAAAAATTGTATAAAAATTTTAAAATATTCACTAAAAATAATAAAAAATGAAAAAAATAGAAAACTCAATTTTCAAAAAATTAAAGTCAAAAAATTAAAATAAAATACACTTATTGTTTTTTTTGTTTTTCTATTTTGCTACTTTGATAATTACACTCTAAATTTTGTTATTTAGCCTCATTATATATCAATCAATCATATTTTTCTTTACAAATACCACTCAACTAAACAAATCATTCTAAACACTACAATTTTTTTGGGTCACTAACAATTGTCTGGTATACAAGTAAAAGACAAAAAAATTGAAGAACATACAATAATTTTTACTAAATTCAATATATTTTTATTAAAATTAATACACTTTTAACATTTTGACTCTTTACATGCTTTTTAATATTAAATAATGCCTATGAAACACTTGTTAGCATTTGTCAATTTTCTTTTCTTTATTTATTTATTTTTTTTTGACACTCAGCCCAAAGGTTTATTTTTAAAATTTTTGAGCTAATAAACCCAAGCTCTACACTTTTGGGGCCAAAAAGACAATTATAATTTGAAATACTATTTTACTTCTACATATGTATCTATCTATCCAATGTTCACCTATTTGTCCACAACACCAATTTGTCCACGTATATGTCATGTGTTATCTATCTGTCCACGGGTCATCCCACTATTTATTCATATGTCACCTATGTCCACTTAGGGATGTTTTGGCAATACCATAAAATAGTCAATAGTCACTACAAATTATCAACTCGTCTCTTTATTTTTTTAAACATTTTTTTAAAAAAAATTAAAAAACTAATTAAAATATATACTTCCCAAAACAATAATGTATCTACTTGTTCAAATCACCACCACCACCACTGTCATTGTCGACCACAACATGGTGCCACCAACAACTTTTCAGGCAAATGTTCTGACACTTTTTCAACAGGTGGTGGGTTGGCAATGAGGGTACAATTGGAAGAAAAAATATTTTTTAAAATAATTTGTTATTATCACCAAATAATTTCATTAAAATGTCAAAATAAAATAAAATCAAACAATGGATCAAATAATATATGGTGTGCAGACTTTTCACCAATTATTTATTTGTTACCTCATAAAAAAATTTAAAAGACATTAAAAAAATTAATTTGCTAAATGGGCTATTTTTAACCAGTAAGTTAATTAACTCCCCAATCAACCCCAAACTGTAGATTTTAAAATGAAAGAACAATTAATTCAACTCTGAAAATACTAAAGTTCAATGGGAGAATACTCATACTATAAAAATGTTATGTTTTCGCTAAAAAATTAAAATTTATGGATGTATTGACAAACATGTATGCAATGTTTGTTTTGGTTCCAAATAGGGATGGTAAAATGCTAGATATCTTAAAAAATTTATTAAATTTTTTATTAAATATCTCACATGGGGGTGGATCCACGTGAAATCTACATGGTGTGAGTCTCTCACCCATGTGAGATATTTGATAGAAAATTTGATAAAACTTTTGGAATTTCTAACATTTTTCTTATTATATGGAGAACGAGACAAATTAAAGGCCCCGGAGCAAGTTAACTTTCTAATTTTAAAAATGCAAATATTAATAAAAATTAGAAACAATATAATATACTACCATAATTATTTATGATCAATGAGTATAAAATATGTAAGGTGATAAATAAATGAGTATGAATAAATATTAAGTATAATATATATTACATATAAACATAGTAAGAGCGGCTTCCTTATCAAGATGGAAAAATCAGTACCTATCGGGGGGATGCAAAGGCAGAGTGAGACGGGAGAAAATGTCATTCTTAGTTTCAAATTACAAATAAAAAATAAAAGTATGCTAAGTTTACAAGTGTCTTGTATCAAAATTGAGGAGGCTTTAATATATATAATAAAACGGATCAATTTTTTAAAATATATCTGATGTGACATAGTTTAGAGTTAAGTTTGAATAAATTTAACAATTAATTTTATTTTTTAAAATAATGAAGTATTTTTCATGCACATAATTTTGCCAATGAATAGATAGAGAGAATAAGAAAATTATGAGTGATTGTGGACTTTTTAGAGTATGGTATGTTGTGGTTGGATGCGTAGGTTTGATCAAAGAGAGATAATAGTAGGAAGTTAGTTGTCCAAGGAAAAACATGCCATTTCATCAAGAGAGAGACCAAAGTAGAAGTTAGTTGTTCACCAAAAACTAGCCGAGGTCTCCTAGAATCCGGGTGTGGTCCAAAAATGGTCCCAGCCCAAACATGAACTTCAACACCTCACCCACCCAACCCGACCCATCCACCGTTTTGAAGAATAATACTATAGATATCAATTAATATATTAATAGATTATGTGACATAATTTTAAAAATTTTAGATATTTATAATTTATATAATAGGTGAGCTCAATAATAATGGCATAATACTAATTGATACACTAATGTATACATTAATCGGTGCATATAGCACCACCATTTTATATGTACTAATTAATGTATTAACTAATCAGTGGTGCTACAGAGCCTGAATGGGCAACGGCTCGAATGGCTCAAAAAAAATTTCCCTAATTTTTTTTTTTCTTTTCAGCAGAAGAAAGGAGGAAGACGAAGAAGGGAAGGAGGGGGGGGAGAGGGAGGGGAAGGAAGGACTGGAGGGGGCCTAAAAAATGGAGGAGGAGGGGGCGGACGCGATCGGTGGAGGTGAGGGACGAACCTGCGACGACGAGCTGCCTGTGACGACGAGCTGCTGCCAGCGACGAGCTGCCTGTGACGACGAGCTGCTGCCAGCGACGACGACGAGCTGCTGCCAGCGACGACGACGAGCTGCTGCCAGCGACGACGACGAGCTGCTGCCAGCGACGACGACGAGCTGCTGCCAGCGACGACGACGAGCTGCTGCCAGCGACGACGACGAGCTGCTGCCAGCGACGACGACGAGCTGCTGCCAGCGACGACGACGAGCTGCTGCCAGCGACGACGACGAGCTGCTGCCAGCGACGACGACGAGCTGCTGCCAGCGACGACGACGAGCTGCTGCCAGCGACGACGACGAGCTGCTGCCAGCGACGACGACGAGCTGCTGCCAGCGACGACGACGAGCTGCTGCCAGCGACGACGACGAGCTGCTGCCAGCGACGACGACGAGCTGCTGCCAGCGACGACGACGAGCTGCTGCCAGCGACGACGACGAGCTGCTGCCAGCGACGACGACGAGCTGCTGCCAGCGACGACGACGAGCTGCTGCCAGCGACGACGACGAGCTGCTGCCAGCGACGACGACGAGCTGCTGCCAGCGACGACGACGAGCTGCTGCCAGCGACGACGACGAGCTGCTGCCAGCGACGACGACGAGCTGCTGCCAGCGACGACGACGAGCTGCTGCCAGCGACGACGACGAGCTGCTGCCAGCGACGACGACGAGCTGCTGCCAGCGACGACGACGAGCTGCTGCCAGCGACGACGACGAGCTGCTGCCAGCGACGACGACGAGCTGCTGCCAGCGACGACGACGAGCTGCTGCCAGCGACGACGACGAGCTGCTGCCAGCGACGACGACGAGCTGCTGCCAGCGACGACGACGAGCTGCTGCCAGCGACGACGACGAGCTGCTGCCAGCGACGACGACGAGCTGCTGCCAGCGACGACGACGAGCTGCTGCCAGCGACGACGACGAGCTGCCTGCGACGACTCTCGCCTCTGTTTCTCGCCTCCTCTGTAACAAAAGAAGGAAGAAAAAGAATGAAAAAAAAAAAAATCGATTTCGAGCCAGATTCGAGCCACACATTTCGAGCATTCAAACATTTTCGTTGTCAAATTTGATGTGGTGTGGCATTTTTGACAATAAAATTTGGCATCAAATTATAGGCCTTTTGAATCTGCAAAGTGAGTTGTCAATTTGACGTGTCACTGCAATGTCAAATTTGACAAACCAGAAAGAAGATGTTAAATTCTTTTGTTTTTATTATTTTAATGGTAAGGAGCACTAAAAGAGTTTAAAAAACATTAAAATAAAAAAGAATAAAGTAAATGTAATAAAATAATAAATTTGGCATATTGGGTTGAGTTTTTTTTTTTTTTTTAAAGATATGTCAAACTTTTATATGTCAATTTGACAGTTAGCCTTTAAAAAATTTCGGTACATAAATTTTTAAAAGTTTGGATAGAGATTCTCAATATTACAATAATTCTGAGTTGTCAGTATTACAATAATCCTGCGTTGTATTATGGAAATTGTTATGAAAACATGATTAAACAAGACTTCAATGTCACTTTTTTATTTTATTTATATTGTGGGGATATATTTTCTGAGTATCAACACGTGGCCAAGGTGATGCCGACGTGTCAGCTGAGGTACCACGTGTCCAGGTCATGACGCCGAGGTTATCTCGGCAAGGTCGAGGTTATCTCCGAAGATATCGGAATCCGAGATAAGCAGATAAGGCACAAGAGTCCTAGAATAAAGAAGGACTTTAGCATGGATAATGATAACAGTCTTAGGGAGTTTATCTTTATCTCTTGGAGAGTTCAGGATAAGCACTAAGTAAGAGTCCATTGAAGCTAGGCTTCTAGTGGGACAAGGATTGAGTTAACTATAAAAGAGAGGCACTCCCGATAGGTCTAAGGTACGCAATTTATATTCAGAATAGTGAGTTTAGCACTAATGATTATCTTTGAGAGATATACTGACTTGATCGTCAGAGTGCCCCCGGGTGGACGAACCACCGCCGGAATCTTCTCTTTCTATTGCAGGTCAGCCGGGTGTCATCTATTCTGCCAGTGCTCTCCAAAACTGAATACTGAGTTGGGCAGTGTGATCATAAAATCACTCACACAATTTAGCGCCGTCTGTGGAAAAGAAAGGAGAATAGATGGCCAGTGACAGACAAAAGGAGAAGATTGGGGACGACACTCCTGCTGGGAGTGGCAGACCTATCGACCTTGACGTCGAAGGAGACAACCGCAACACAAAAACTCGTGACCAAAATCACAGCAAGAAAGACGTTAGCCAGGACGGCGACACACCAAAGAAACCAGAACAAAGCAGGTATTATAACGAAGACGACCTCTAAGTGTGGAAAGATAGATGCCTTCGAAAGGACGAAGAAGTAAAAAAGATGGCGAACAAATTGGCAGACCTGCAATCGGTCATTAATTTTATGATGCAAAATAATGTCATGCAGCCACCGTTCCCGCAGCAGGGCAAGCCGATTCCGGCAGCCAATGCACAGAAAGAAGGTCAGAAACCAATCCCAGAAATCCCCCAGCACACCAGGAGTGAAAAACACTCTCACCGGCCTTCAAGGGAGGTCAGACGAGGAGAATCAAGAAGAGAAGAGTCGTGGTGGACGCATCGCGCCAAGGAGGCAGACCCCAATGAACATCGGCATGTTCAGGGACAGACGCTCTGCTTCAACACAACTCACGGAGAAAGATTGAAAAGGACCCATGCTGAAGCTGAGAGTAGTATGCCGAAAAGACTGAAGTTAGGAGATAGCCGAGCTCCTGGGCGGAGCAAAGAGGACTTGAGAGATTACCTCAAGAGGAAGCAGCAGAATACCGATGCCGAGGTAACTTCCCCTAAAAAGCCGAGAACACCCTTCTCAGTGGAGTTAGACAAATTTGAGGCCCTGAAGAGATTTAGTATGCCGAGGTTCCAAATATACGATGGTAAGTCAGACCTCAACTTCCACGTTGGATTATACTTGAACTAAATGGCATTGTATAGTGGGAACGAGCTGTTGCTCTGCAAAGTGTTCCCCTCATCATTCGGGGAGATCGCATTAGATTGGTTCCACAAACTACCTAAGGGAAATGTGAAGACCTGAGAAGGCCTGGCCGAGATGCTTGTGGCCAGGTTCGTGACAAACAAGCTGCAGCCATTAAGGGTGGATGCATTGATGGCTCTGAAGATAAGTAAGGATGAAGGCCTTAGGGCCTATGCAAAAAGGTACTATGAGGTGTTCAACCGAATACCAGAGTGTAATCAAGAGGTGGCGGTCGCATCTTTCAAGAACGGCCTAAAAGACGACTGTCCACTACGAAAATCTTTGGCAAAGACATTGTTAAAAAGTATGGAAGAGCTCATGGCGAGAATCGAGAAGTATGCTAGAGCCGAAGAAGATGCACCAGGAACCAATGAGGCAAAGCAAGAGAAAGGAAACGGCTCGCCGAAGCAAGGCCGAGGTAACAATGGATCGAGCAAGCAAGAGACAAAATTAAGGGCTACACAGGCAGTGACAACTGTGTTCAGAATCCCAATTCACAAAGTCTTGGACCAAATTCGGAATCAACCCTATTTCAGAACACCGGCAAGGGCACCAGGAGAGTTTATGGGAAGAAACCTTGGCAGACATTGTGCTTACCACAATAAAGATGGGCACATGACTCAGGGTTGTAGAGCCCTGAAAACACACTTGGAAGACCTGGTGAGGCAAGGCCATCTGAGAGACCTTGTCGATGAGGCCAGAACAAGGGAAGAACAGGCAAGATTGCCTCAGGCGACAGTAGCTCCACCTCCCCCAGCACAACAACCTCAAGTAGGAGGACCTCCGATAATTAATGTAATTCACTCGAAGGTTGACGAGAACGAAATTAGAGGGGAGACCCAGAAGGTAAAGCACTTGCAGCATGTCTACCAAGTCAGGGAGAAGAAACATCGGGCAGAGGAATGCCAAGGACCAGCAGTGCCCTTTTCTGAAATCGACCTTGAGATGATGCAGCATCCGCATAATGATGCCTTGGTAATATCCCTCCAGGTTGGGGAATGCCAAGTAAAACGCATCCTGATTGATCAAGGCAGCTTTTGTGACATCATGTATGTCCGATGTTACAAGGAGCTTGGCCTTCACCAGACGATATGGAGCAATCCAATAGCCCAATGGTCGGGTTCAATGGAACGCCGACATGGCCACTGGGAACAACCAGCTTGGAGGTACAGGCAGACACCAGGAAGATAACAACAGAGTTCACCGTAATTGACACGCCCTTCCCTTACAACATCATTTTGGGAAGTCCATGGTTGCATGCAATGGGGGCAGTTCCCTCAACATTGCATCAACTATTGCGGTTCCCAACAGAGCATAGGATTGTAGAAGTCAGAGGAGATCAGCTGCAGGCAAAGAATTGCTCCATGGCAGCAATGAAATCTACCTGCAGCATTCAAGAACCAAAGAAGGCAAAGATCGAAGGCAATGACGTGAAGGTCCTAGAGGTTGTCAGCAAGGAATCAACCGAGAAGAATGAAGAAACACTAAAGAAAATCCTCAAGAAGGGGATGACGAACGCTTCTTTGTTCTCGGCTCGGGCTTAGCCGAAGAAGAGGGAAAATAGTTGGAAGCTTTTTTAAAAAACAAATATTGAGATGTTTGCCGAAGTACATAAATAAAATTTTGCCCTTTTATCACTTGCCGAAATAAATAAATAAAGATTCAGCTTGATTTATTTGTTTATACACTTGTGACTGATAAAGATACATAACGTTGTTTCTGGAATACATGCATAATGAGACCCCAAGTGGAACTTAGGTTCACATTAGTGGGCAGAGAGAAGAGATGATGTTTAACACTTGTTGAAACTTGAGAAAAGTTTACAAGTTAAAGTTAAACCGAAATGATGTTTAACACTTGTTGAAACTTGAGAAAAGTTTACAAGTTGAAGTTAAACCAAGATGATGTTTAACACTTGTTGAAACTTGAGAAAAGTTTACAAGTGGAAGTTAAACCGAGATGATGTTTAACACTTGTTGAAACTCGAGAAAAGTTTACAAGTTGAAGTTAAACCGAGATGATGTTTAACACTTGTTAAAACTTGAGAAAAGTTTGCAAGTTGAAGTTAAACCGAAATGATGTTTAACACTTGTTGAAACTTGAGAAAAGTTTGCAAGTTGAAGTTAAACCGAGATGATATTTAACACTTGTTAAAACTGGAGAAAAGTTTACAAGTTGAAGTTAAATCGAGATGATGTTTAACACTTGTTGAAACTCGAGAAAAGTTTACAAGTTGAAGTTAAACCGAGATGATGTTTAGCACTTGTTGAAACTCGAGAAAAGTTTACCAGTTGAAGTTAAACCGAGATGATGTTTAACACTTGTTGAAACTTGAGAAAAGTTTACAAGTTGAAGTTAAACCGAGATGATGTTTAACACTTGTTTGCACAAGACTATGGCGTATCTTGAAGACACAAAATTATTCTAAGTATGAAAGTCATACAAGAAGCAATAAAGGGAAGGCAAACATGCAAACATTCAAGAAAGAAGGAAGTTGTATTCATTAAACGGCACGCCGGCCACATGAAGAGCTTACATTGTCTCAAAAACAAAGAAGTACAAAGTGTAAAAAACAGAGGAAAAAAACATCAAAACTAAGATTCCTTAGCATCATTAGTAGGCTGAGTCTGGATCTCGGAAGACTGCTGGGAGGACATCTCGGCCACCTTCTCGGCCGCAAGCTCAACATCAATCTCTTGAAGGGACTGATCAAGACTCTTGTCGGCGAGAGGCACGTCCAAAGATGCCTGCTCAGGGGTAGCTTTTTTAGGGACCTCCTCAACCTCCTCATCTTGAGTCAAGTCTAGGACTTGCTCATTTTGAGGAAAAGACTTGGACCCAGCAACGCCTTTTGACTTCCTCACCATAACCTCCTCCTCGGACTCAGAGTAGTCGTCGGCGGGTTGGCTTGGAGTTGGGGGGAATGGCAGAGGAAGGACATCGGCATTCTTGAGGGGGGAGTGCTTGGGGACATTAAGCCTTTTCAGCAAGGTCATCCAGCCAAGGGTGAAACGCTTGTTGCATGCCAGCCTCACTTGCTTTTCATAATCCGCCGTGACGTCGGCCACCCATTCGTTGTAACCCTTTTAATCGGTTGCCTTGACTTCGGCCTCTTTGGTGGCCAGAGCGTCTTGCAGTTCTTTTTGGGCCTGGGCCGTTTTCTCCTCGGCATCTTTCTTCTCGGCCTGAAGTACCTTTTTTATGGCCTAACATGGACTGCTTTGCCAGATACAGAGTCGCCACCTAAATATTTTATTTCGGGGGAATTTAGGAAACCCTGACTCGTTTGCCTAAGGCCGCGTATCTGTCATCACCAAAGTTACTTCGGCTCGGGAACATGGGTACGATTGGGGAAGGTCAGCTATGAGCACTCCCGCTCGCTTGATCAAAGATCGGCCTCTACTAAACATGATATCTTGTTTTGAAAACATATGCGTTCTTATTCCGGTTAATTAGCTAGAATTTACTATGTGATGCGCACAACACACAAGTATAGACTAGATCGCCTAATTTGGAACAAAGCATTGCATATCCGTTTGCTTGGAAAATAGTTTGAGGTTCATTACTCGCAAGTAGGCAAAAACACGGATTTCGATGAATTGTTCCAATTCAAGCAATCCAACCTTCACCCACAGGAAACCAGACAGTTATATCACATAAGCACATAGCCTCATGGTAAGCATGCTATCATGGTAGTCACTCACATACATGCAAGGATGCTAAAGCATAAACGCTTACCGAGTACTCCGAGCCAAAACAGAAACTAGTTAGTAATTATATGCATGATCCTAGTTCATGTTAAGATGGCTAATGCAACACATGCAAGATGCAACTAAGCTAGGCTCGGCTATTCTAAGATGGCATGTGATGATGCTACAGCTAACATGTATTCAACTTGGAATTGAAATACGATGTAGTTAGTATGATGCGCCGAGCCCGGTGCATGCAAGACAAATCAATGGATGCAAACATGCGAGCATAAGTATGCTAATTGAAACATGTCCTAATCTAACCAACGTAAGCTAGTAAATAAAAGGGAGAAAGACGTGGGGTTGGAAGACATGCACACACGCACGCACACTTATTACACAATTGCCCTCGCTCGGAAGGTCCGAATAATAATACAAACCGAATAAATAATTAACTACCCTAGCTAATTAAATATTACAAAACACTTAACTAATTAACAAATTAATTAAGCTACTAAAGCAGTAAAACAACCTCGGGAAGAGGGATGAATGCATGCTCGGATTGGCTTCGCTCGGAAACCCAATGCCATGCCACAGTTGCCTCTGTTTACAGTGTCCTGCACCTCTGAAGACTGCACAAGTCCCAAGGTTGGTTCTGGAACACTCCCTAAACACTGTAGGATGTCACCGGCCAAGAGAGATGGTCACTGGCTATGGGAAAGTGGTCATCGACCAGTTGTGAGGCTCTCGGCCAACAATTCATGGCTGGCCGGCACTGAATGTGGTCGGTCGGCCATTTCTTCCTACAGAACCCTGTTTGACAGCAGCAGAGGATAGACAAGGCATGACAATGCATTTTTAAAGCAAATGTTTGCACAACCACCCTCCCCACCATGTTATGGACTCAAGGGAGTGTGGCCCTCGGTCCTCGAGCCACCAATCATGTATTTCAATACATGATGGTTCGAGAAGCCAAAGTGTGCAATTTCAATGTCAAATGAAATGCATACAAAACAAAGAAGATGCCTCCAACCTCTATCATGGTTTGATCAAGAGGCAAGACATGCATGATATGCTATGCAACCTAAGCATACGAGCTAAGTATGCAACATGAACATGTGGACAAACATGCAAACATGCAAGCATGTGACAATATTCAAACAATGAGCATGCGAGACATGATGCAACCAAAGCATGCAAACATGAAGCAATGTAACAATATTTTAGCAACATGCAAAAGATGGACTTAAAGTAATATGGACAAGCCTTAGCCATGTCTAAATCAGTGGCCATATGAGATGAGAACAATGCCTAAGATTCATGCAAACATGCACAATGCAAGGGCTCCAAGCCTAAGGCACAAAATGCAATTTTCCAAGAGTAATGTAAGGATGAAACATGGCATACAATGGCATACCTTCCAGCTCTGAAATGGCATACTAAATGATTCCAAAATGACTCCGAAGCATGCGAACACTCATGCTATGCATGCTAGAAGGCTCAAACACCAAAGACTAGTGAAGCATTTACACTATAGCTATACAAAGCATGAGTGATATGGCCATGGCAACCCAAAATAGTCCTAGGATAGCCCAAAATAAGCATAAAATCATGTTAGAGTAAAGCCAAAATATGCTAGGATGATGAGTCAAAACATTATGCACAAGAGACTAGTAAACAAGATTTGTTCTACACCTATATGGAGCATGCAAAGGATGACCAAACCAACTATGGATAGGGTCATGATATGGTAAAACATTACCAAAAAAATATTGAAATGTAAACCAAACAAGCTAACAAGACATGACAAAGCATGAAGCATGTGAAGCTAGTTTAGGGGATTTACACTACAAGTGTATGAAGCATTCAAGGGGTCACTAAACCAGCCCAAAAAAGATTCATGACATGCCAAAATATGACCAAAAATCCACTGAAATGTACCCAATACATGCAAGAATGAGGTGCTACTTTGAAAAGCTATAAAGGGGGTTGCTCTACATATGCAAGAGGCAAGCCTTAAATGACAAAAACAGCTCTAGAAAGAGTTCAAGCAGGCCCTAAAAATCACTAAAAAAGGCCTGAACCGAGCTCAAGAAGTGTGCAAATATGGGCTCCTTTGTAAGGCCAAAAATGCAAGTAAACAAGACAATAAGGAGAGGGGATGACCCTCTCCTTCTTAGGACCTCAAAACACCATCCCCACCACTGAAATCCCTCTAGATTTCAGGGATTTCAGTGGTGAGAAGGCCAATACAAGGTGGTCCCAAAGCTCACAAAAAAGGCACAAAAATGAGGCCAAACAAGGCCTAAGAGGGGGTAGACAACCCCAAACACAAAAGTGGCCTTAAACAAACTTCAAAAGGAGCTCAAAATAAGACTTTTATCTGTTATAAGTAAAGCTCAAAACAGCATGTAAGATAGGCTAAAAGTCTATGCAAAAATGGGGAATAAAGAGGGTGTTTCTCACCCTTGATGCACAGCTGCGAAACTAGCAGGTTCTTGGACCAAAAACCAGTCCCTTAGCCTCTGTAAATGGCCTCCAAGATGCTTAGGTTGATGATGGAGGTGTTAGGGTAAGAGTTGGTGTGCAAAGGGGCCAAGAACCATGCAATTTGGAGCTCAAAATAGAGAGATATAGAGAGATGTATACTGTTTGCCTTAGCGAAATTTTTGGAACCCTTACAATGGAAGAGGAGGAGCTCTTCTTTTATAGAGGAACAAAGGTCCAAGCTTCTTGAAGAAGCTTGGAGCAAAGGGGCCAAGCTTCTCTTAGAAGCTTGTAGCAAAAGGGCCAAGCTTCTTGAGGAAGCTAGAGGAAAGGGGTCAAGCTTCCTCAAGAAGCTAAGCAAAGGGGTCAAGCTTCCTCAAGAAGCTAAGCAAAGGGTTCAAGCTTCTCTAAGAAGCCAAAACAAAAGGGTCAAGCTTTTTGGAGAAGCTAGAGCAAAAGGGTCAATACTTCTTGGAGAAGCTAAAAAGGTTTAAACTTCTTGGAGAAGCTAAAATAAAGGTTCAAAAGGTTCAAGCCTCTTCAAGAAGCTAAAACCAAGGGTTCAAAAGGTTCAAACTTCCTCAAGAGGCTAAAATAAGGGTTCAAAAGGTTCAAACCTCCTCAAGAAAAGGTCTTGGCCAGAAAAAGTGGCCGATTGATCAAAACAATGGCCGACCGACCAAAACATTGCTGACCGGCCAACACCTTTGGCCGGTAGCAAGAAAACAGGGCCGGTGGCCTCAAGCCATGGCCGGTGAGGTGTGGGGATGGCCAACAAGCCATTCCCTGCCCTCAGAGCCAAAAACCCAAGTGCTTGGTCCACAACCAAGCACAAAACAGATAAATTAAGAGATCTTGAGGCAAGACGCGTAGCCGAGACCCCCGAGAATTTAAAACGAACACGAGCATGGATGATCATCGAGTGTTCAAACGATAGCGTCCAAGTCTTGAGGACGATCAAAAATGGGGTGTCTACAGTTGGCCCTCTTTGACAGAACTCGAAAGTCATAACAATGACGGGAGTGAATGTCAAAGCCCAGAGACGACCCATTTTTGACAAGGCCGAAGACTTAGACAAAGCATACAAGCTACAAACAATGATATGAGCCCGAGGGCAGGGGCAAAATGCAAGACAATGCACAAGACCGAGCATAACTTATGATCATGCAAAGAAAGCTGTAACGAAACATAATATGCAACAGTTTTAAGCAATTTAACCAAACTACATTACAATGCAGAAAGGATGTAAGAGAGTCATACAATCTCAACCATGCGCCATGCAGGAAAGACTAAGAGAGACCATTGGGGACACCCGAGGTCTCAAACAAGATTCCGTCGCGTTGCACGCGAAAGGAAAAAGAGTGGCACAATCATTGAAACATGTTCCAAATGCTCTAAAAAAAGAGGGAAACATAGGGACATATCCCGGTGTTTTGAAGAGGGGCGTGCATAACAATGCAAGTGGAATGCGCGTAACAACGCAAGTGAAGAGGTGTGCATGACAATGCAACCTAAGATGAATTCCAAACACGCTGAAATCATGTAAGGAAAGGGGACGTGGAGAAACATAGGGACATATCCCGGTGTTTCGGAATGGTTCAAATATAGGAACGTATTCCAAATGCTCTTAGACAAAGAGGGAGAAACACAGGGACATATCCCGGTGATTCGGAAAGGTATAAGCATTGGAACGTATTCCAAATGCCCTTAACCAAGGAGGGAGAAACATAGGGACATATCCCGGTGTTTCGGAAAGGTACAAGCATTGGAACGTATTCCAAATGCTCTTAACCAAAGAGAGAGAAATATAGGGACGTATC